AGATAAAAAAAATCCATCTCCAAGTAAGAGAAGATTAAATATCCCAGCTTCTTTTCATTAAACAAAAGCACATTTTGATGAAGAGCCATTGTGTTACCCCAGCATGACTTTCCCTGAGGTTAATTTCACCTATAGGAATACGAGCACACATAGATGACTTTAAAGCGGTTCTTTCTCCATGCCTGTAATGATGGAAGCGCTGAAGAAGAATATATCAAATCTTTAATCCCAGCAATCACTAAGGAAGAACAGTGAGGTGTATTCATAGAGTTCTACCCTCCTTACTCAAACGCAGAATAATGAAAGTAATGGAAATGTTACAAGACGTGCATCAAGAAAAATGCAGCTGAAAAGCAGACGGTCGTGGAGAAAGTCTGAATCACACAATATTCTTTGTGACCAGCTCTTTATGGATTCAGTTTCTTTTTAAGCTAAATAAGATTTTGCAGCTTCAAAATGATATAGATCAGTCTTTCTTTGCATGATTCACGTCTTATATCTCCTCGCTAGCTGATTACAGATACAAATTTGCAATCTTTGAATAGAAGGTAGAGAAACAGTGGTATGAAAAGGTTAATTTATGACTTGGAGGGAAATGTCAACTTTTTTAGCGTGACAGAGTATAATCATCGCTCCAGAAAGATCTAAAAGAAGAGCTTCAGGCTGATGTAATCTGTGCTTAGTCCATACATATTCACTGGAAAATGTTTCATACTGACCCCTGGCAAATATACAGTAGGTCAATTTATCTTTAGTGTAGTCCCTGCCACCTTCAGTAGAGTGGCTACTAGAAATTAAGCTTTGCTAGTATTTAGCTTTGCTAGTACTGTAATCAGTCTAGATGATTTGTAGTTGGTTACCATCTGGTTAATTCCAGGTGTTCTACTGTTGATTGTACCAGCCTGAGTGGGATTAGTGTGGGGAAGCCAATAGGGGTACATCAGGAGTATCTATGCCTCACCAGCCAATCACTAGGGCTTTCATGGCCAGTGGTAAATACTCAGGGATCGCCATGTGTTCAAGGGCAGTCATTTTCTCCAACAGTATACATGCCACCCTCAGGCCAAGCCTGGGGGCGGCATGTTTATTGTTGGAGAAGCTGACTAGGCCTTACGCCTGGAGGAGGCCACATGTGGACCCAGGAAGGGGTCTGGAAATGCCTGGAGAGGAGAACCAGAGAAGCTTTATGACTAATGGAGATACCAAGAGCTGATATGGACCTCAGGAACAAGTCTGGTGTCTCTCCCAGGGAAGCTCTCATTCACATCCCTATTCAGCTGTTGCTCTATTGCCAAGTGTCAGCCTATTCTCTCAATAATTCTGCACTGTGCAAGTCTAAAGGGATTGGTGAGTCTAGAGTACGTGTTCTATTTTTGCTATGAATGTCTGAAGCCCTGTACCAGTGATGGCTGACGTTTTTGAGCCCGAGTGCCCAAACTGCGACGCAAAATCAATTTATTTATCTCAAAGTGCCGACACTTAAAATAAATTTGGTATTGTGTTTTAGTTTTGGCACTGGGGTTTAAAAAACGTTCAGTATCACTGCCTTAGGCAAAATAGGGAAACAAACATATTAAAACATTTAAAGATTTTATTTTTTCTTTATTTATTATTTTTTACTTTTTATATCACTTTTTACTATTTTTATTTATCTTATTACACTTTACTTTTTTATTTCTTTTTTATTGTTTTTTTATCATTTTAATTGATTTAATTATTTTTTACTTTATCACTTAATTTTTTTTAATTTTAATTATTTCGTTTTTTAACTTTTTGAAATTTTTATTAATTTTTACTTTTTATAAAAACATTTTAAAATTTTTCATTTATTTTTAGTTTTGTAGAGCTAGCTTTCCCGCTCTACATTTAGCTTTGTTTCCCTGAAGCAGGGCTAAATGTAGAAAAAAACTACCCGCCGGTCACCCGGGAGATAGGATTTTCTGTCTAGGCTCGTGTGCCACCAGAGGGGCCTCTGCATGCCCTCTGTGGCATGCGTGCCATAGGTTCGCCACCACTGCCATATACCCTCTCTCCTAGTTATGCTGTTCTACAATAAAAGCATTCTAAAAAGGCACTTAAAGTGACTGGCACCCAATTTGTCGATCATATGTCCCTTCACTGGCTAAGGATCTGCCCCTGAGAGTTAAATATCGGCCCTCCCTGCATTTGGGGGTCCACCGTAGGCCTCTGGGGGTCAGGGAGGTGCTACATTAGTTTATGTTCCTTTAAAAATCATGGAAACATTTTTCAGTTTCGCTAATCATATGATATCCACATGATATCCTGGCAGATCCACATGATATCCCGGCAGATCCACATGATATCCCGGCAGATCCACATGATATCCCGACAGATCCACATAATATCCCGGCAGATCCACATGATATCCCGACAGATGTCACAATGTGCCCACATAATTAATAATAAATATCTATCATAAACTTTGCATAACTAATCACCAGTCAAAATTCATCAAATAAAGTGCATATAGTCCCATAACAGATTAATTAATCAAGATCAAGTGCATCAACACGTTTGATATATGAACTTACAGCAGTATATGATTATTTAGCACAGAAGGACTTGAGCACTTTGATTAAAAGCACTTTGGATTGATTAGCAGAACTTTATATGAACTGATGAACTTGATTTTGATTAAAGTTACGAGAGTTTATGCAGTTTGATTAATTTTGACTGGTGATAAATTATACAAAGTCAAACTTGATGAAACTAATGTTCTAGAATAGATATTTAATATTGATTATATGGGCACTTTATTATATCTGTTGGGATATCACTAATAGGGTTGAAGTTTAGATTATTGTGATTTATATTAATCTATACTTTATTTATTTACTGTTAGTTTATTTATTAGCGTAGTGCAATATTTTGATACTATTAATTATTGTTGCAGTGGACCTATGGGGAAAGCAAATAATGACATAGAAGACGCGGTCTGTCCATTGCATTTTGGGAATTGGGGTTGTAGATTTATGTGTATCATTTGGATTTATACATTTTTTTAAAAATAATTTGGGAATGCAATTTGACTTCAAACTCATGTGGAATTTTGCAGGTTGATAACGGACTGAGAGAGCAAACCCAGAGTGTGAAGGGATCCTTTGAAGGTTTGTCTCAACGTAAAAAATAAAATGAACTTATCTCTTAACTTAAATGAAATATTATAGTCACCCCTCCCCTAATCTAATGCCAAACCTAATACCAATAATAAGTCTTTATAATTAAAAAACAACATTTTATTAACCCTCGCAGTGGGGCTACCCCCGCACTGCAAAGGTTAAGTGCTTATTTTTGCCTAGCGTCAAAAATAACAAAGTTATACTCACCTGTTCCTTGGAGCCAGCCGGCTGTGGCACTGCTCCGTCTAGCCTCTCTTCTCCTCCACTGAAGCAATGGAAACTTCCTTCAGCATCCTCACGTACTAAACACTGTGTACAGAATTGGGGGAGAGAGGCACCAGGGACCAGTCTAAGGGCAGGCCGGCTGGCTCAGAGGATCGGGTGAGTATAGCACTTAAGCCTTACAGCGCGAGAGTAGCCCCAGTGCAATGGTTAGTAAAAAATTTTAAACAGAGTTCTGCTTTAACTCTTACCCTAACACTACACACTTAATTATTACCCTATTGCTTAGCAATTAACCCTACCACTTACTCTCCAATCTTCTGTATACTCACCTCACCGTGCACCCAGCACCTGTGATCAGAGAGTAGGATGACCCATGTTGAAATCATGCAGCACCAAGATCCAGTTTCCAATTGAAACTGCTTTGATTATTGTTTTAAATGCTACTTGGAGCCAGGGCCGGATGTACTCTCTCTGCTGCCCCAAGGCCAAGTTTCTCAATGCGCCCCCCTCCCCGCCAACCCCCCCCCCTTCCCATGGAGAATGGCGGACCTCAGGCTGCATACAAGCAGGCTTCCCCGCTGTACATTTAGCTCCGCTTGCCCAAAGCAGGGCTAAATATAGAAAACAACTACCCGCCCGGTGCTCGGAACTGCATGTCCCGGGCATGGGGAGATAGGAATTCCACACCCCTGCTGCCCCTCTACTCCCTGCTGCCCCCGAGGCCGGGCCTTGGTTGGCCTTGTGGGAAATCCGGCCCTGCCTAGAGCATAACTAAAGACATAGTAGACAATGGAACTGAAATGAATCCCAGGGTTGAGTGGCTACACAGTGATTTTTGTAAGCAGCGCATTTGATAAATACTTTTAAGTCAACGTATACAACGCTTGGAAACCTCTATACACTTTACATGAAAGCAGTTAGTATTCTGTATCACTAGAGAACATGCTTCTGAGATGGTGATTAGAGAAACATGGTGGCTGGTTTACAAAAGGCAGGCAGAGGGCAAAAGACTAATCACCAGCATTGCCTGTAGTCGCATTGATCCTGATACTTTTTCCCACGACTAACTCACCATTCCTTGTTCTGCACTGCAGCTCTGTGTGGGGGTGGCCATCTTGGATACCCACCACTGTCAGAATACAAAAGTAGGTAGGGGAGATTTCCCCATTCATGCTGTTTACCATGGATGAGGGAGTCAAGCTTTTTTCTCATTCAGCCAGCCTAAGTCTTAACCAAAGTTGGGACAGTGTCTGATCTAATAAAGATAAGACTAAATGAACAAGATGATGCTCAAAATTGCATTTTGATTGGTAACATGACTCGTTAATGACCGTGTGCTAAAATAAGTCGCCCAGTCTATGGCCAACCGAAGAATTTTTTCTTTTATTATTATTAAAAACAATATTTGGCTACTGGCGTGGGGTGTGCATGCACTCTGAAGCCAATTTTAAATGATATAACTTAGAACGAAGGGTACAGATTTACAGGCTTACTCAATAAAGAATTACACAAAGCCATAGTAAGGTATAAAATGCAGCAAGTGTCGCAGCCAATGAGATGTATGAAGCCAAATTCTGATTGGTTACAGCAGTGGGGTTCTGGACTTTGTACACTGCGCCTTGACTTACTGAATAACTACTCATACATGTCACGCCTAGAGATCTCCACAGCGGAAATGTTAATGTCATTCAGGATCTGCAGTTTGGTTATGCCAGAGAAGTGCTTCACTCGGTGACGATACTGAATGATCTTGCTGTCATCTATGAACACCTGGAAATGTTCCCTGTCTGAGTAGATTTCAATCTGGAATGTATGAATAAAAGATTATGGAGCTCGGCGGCAACTGATTGTATCAATATTGTGTATTAATATGTTTTAACATTGCATGAGTGAGAGAGGAAGAAAGAAAGAAAGAAAGAAAGAGAGAGAGAGAGAAAGAAAGAGAGAGAAAGAAAGAGAGAAAGAAAGAAAGAAACAAAGAAAGAAAGAAACAAACAAACAAAGAAAGAAAAGGAAAGGAAAGAAAGAAAGTCATGACATGACTTTGAAATTCACTTTCATTTTGCATGCTACTTTGTAAGCTGCACACATCTATACTGATCCTAAGCCCTTGGAATTCATGTATGCCAATCATGTCATTATAAACTGAGGGCATTGTAAGATAATTAAGAATTTAAGGGGAAAAGCTATTAGTCTTCTGCCATTATCAGAAGCATGAAAACTGAATCAGTATTCTGTATAGAAGCATGCTATGAGGTTTTTAACAAGCGCCACTGCTAATATATGGAGACTCCTTTTAAAGGTTCACTGCCTGTTATTGTGACTCATGATCAAATCATACCTGGAAAGGCTCATTAGCTTCCAAAGGGAAAGTGTCGGTTCGTTCCTCCTGTCCCCAGTGACTTGACAAAAAGGAGTTGCAGATGACGGTGCCCTCTGCAAAACGAGGATTGAAATGGAAAGCGATCTGGTCTCCTGAATCGGTGAGGAAGTTGATTTCAAAGCTGTTAGATCAAAAAGGAGACATGGCATGTAAGTTTATATTTCTGGTGTTTTGAGCTACCTAGTTAAAAGTCTGTAAAGAATCAGCTTAGTCCTTAGGACAGAGGTCTAGGATAGCTGATTACCATGTTTAATGTATATCTATTGTCTTAAAGGACTTTGTATCCATTCATATTTTTAGCCTTTAAGTGTCAGAGTGTCACCTGCAGGAGAGGGCAAGCAATGGGTGGTTGTCAGTGCCCATCCTGTTCTAGAAAAAGGTAAATTGAATGTTAAAGTTTGTGTAGAGCAGGGTAGACAAACTTGGCACTCCAGATGTTAAGGAAATACAAATCCCATTAGGCAATGCAAAACTCTGACAGCCACAGACATGACTCCCAGAGACAAAGTCTGTTGGAAATACAGAAGCATATGCTGATATGTACTGATTGTAGTATTGACATTCTGATGTATACTAATATGTCTTTTGAGCTGTAGATGGCACTGTGGTGCAATGTTAGTCTCTCTATATGCATGCTTATCTATAAAACAAATGAAGTTTTCTTATCTATATTGTTTCCTTTACAATGCTGTATTCTGATGTAATGTTCTCCTAAGCAAGTAAAACTTAATTCAGCATTCCTCAAGATCTCAGTGCTTCATCTAAACACATAACTAACAGGTTATGGGCCCAGCCGCTAAACAGAATGCTGCAAGTCAACAAGAGCCTCATCCAAGCTACTGAAAGATGGCAAGTAGTTCAGATATGAAGTTTGCAATTGCAAAGCTCAACAATAGTAACTACTAGCTATGGAAGTTCAAGCTTAAAATGCTGCTAAGCAAAGATGACTTGTGGCAAGTACTGAATACAGACAGACACAGTAATAGACCTATGGAGGAATGGGACAAGAAGAACAGGCAAGCAAAAGCCATTATAAGTCTGCTAGTGGAAGACGACCACTTATCCACATCAGAAAAGAGAGTACAGCTAAAGGTATGTGGACTGCATTACAAAAACTGCATGAGCATTCAAACCTAAACAGTAAACTATTTCTTATGAAATTAATGGTACGTTATATCTGACCACACAGATTTCAGCTGCTGCTTAACTTGATTAGAGTAGTGGCGTGAGGTTTCACATTATTCAGTAAACTATTTCTGCTATGCAAGCTATATGAGATGAGTCTAGAAAAAGGCAAGGGAATGCATGAACATGTGAATGCCGTGCTGGAAATCCTAGAATAGCTACTTGCAATTGGAGAGGAAATTAAAGATTACTACGTTGTGGCATTACTGCTATGCAGCCTTCCAGAGTCATACATGCTCTTATTAACGCTCTAGAAACCAGACCATGGCAGGAACTAACAATAGAATGCACCAAATGGTGATTAATCGATGAATATGACAGAAGGAAAGAAAATATGCGCAACAAAGCAAACATGATAGCCCTTAAGGTGCAAAAGGACTGTTCAATCTGGGAAGCCGAGCAGCAAAAGTGAGAGGCTCCTACAAGTGAAAGAGCTAAGACAGCAACAAAGGGAACTGCAAGCACATCATGGAGAGCTACCTTTAAAGTGACTCAGAACAGTACAGTAGGCGGATGGTTTATTGACTCAACAAGTCACATGAGAAGTGATGAGACATTCTTCATAGAAATCGATTTCAGTGCAAAAGACAAAGGGGTCTATTCACTAAGCTGCCGTAGGCAGCCGAGTGAATGACCGGCCTGAAGTGAAGTGAGCCGAACACTGTTCGGTTATTCACTTCAGGCTGGTACGGCTGATTTCAGCCGTACATCGGCTGAAATCAGCCGTACATCGGCTTGCTTCACATGGCTTCTGGTCGGCCGAACATGCTCAGCATGTTCGGCATTTTTATTCTGACATCGCTACGTGTCAGAATAAAGAAAAAAAAAAGACACAGCAGTGTTTCTCTCCTTTACTGATTGTAAGTTTTAAAATGTAAACTTTTTTAATAAAAGTTGTTTGAGGATTTTACATGACATGATTTTTTAAATCTTTTTAGTACTATTGGCAATGGGAAGAGAGGAGATATTTATAAAATGTGATTGATATGGGAAATCTGGCATTTATCTGAAAATTATCGTGAATTTGAATATTGATCGGAGGAAAGGAGATATCCGTGAGGAGTGACTACACTTGAGAACTATTTATGGGAAGCTTAAGCCCCTGTCCTCCCTGAATGTCAACCCTAGACCAGATTTTATGGATACCTGGCGATATGGTCAATTAGCACATTTTGTGCAACAACTCCCCGGTCCCCTGAGGTCCACAGTGGACCTAAACCCGTTGGAACTGCTTTTTCCTATGGGTTCTGTACCCGATATATGTATATCCTCCCTTTACACAGCATTATCGGCATGGATGCCACACTTCCCCCGCTGGTATTATACACCACAGAGAGTGCACCAGATCGACCCTTCAGTGTCCCCTCTGTGTTGGCGGGCAGTGTCCAAAAATAAGACCCTATTGGCAGGAGGTCGCCTCGGAAATGTCCAGAATTCAGGGAACCTCAGTGCCAGTTGACCCTTGGGTAATGCTGTTGCATGGCTCTGAAGGTTCAGTGGGCAGCTATACCCGTTCTATTACACCACATTTACTTAATGCTGCTAAAGCTTTAATACCAGCCAAATGGAAAAATAGCTCTGCTCCTTATTGGAATGGCTAGATAGGGTGGAACAGACTTATAGCATGGAAGAACTCACTCTTACAGGATTAGACCAAAAGGACCGCCTCTCCAAAACCTGGGCTTGTTGGCTCACTTAGAAAAACGACTGCCTCTTATCTTGCAGTGGGGACTCAAATCGAAGGAAGGGGAACTGCTTTGACTAAATTGAGAAATGGATATGGTTGCCTATCCGATTGCTGAGATACCGAATCCACACACTGTAATGTTTACTTACAAATAGAATGTTAAAAATGTGGAACTGCTATATTCTTTAATATGATATAAGAAATTATCCTACCCCCGCCCCCCCCTGTCTTTCCCTAAATGTCTGCAATTGTGATGTATTATTTTGTGGATTTTTGTGTTGTTTATTTTTGTTTATCTGCAAAAATTTTCTCTAATAAATACTTATTATACAAAAAAAACAAAAAAAAACTATTTATAAATGCTACCCGACCAATATTTATTGGTCCATCAAATCTGATGGGTGAAGGCAGTACTCAGAAAAGCCCAAAGTTTCTTTATTAACGGATTCTGGAGGATCTCGTATAAGGATTTCACTTTTATAAGAAGCACTTTTGGACTGCTTACACTGGCACTATTGGGAAGCACTTTATCATGCTGATTTGACACATTTAAACAAGGACACTTTGGGGGTGATTTACTAACCTAAACACACGCACGCACTAGGTGCGTGTGATTTTCACACAGCAAAACGTATTTATCAACCAAAAAGTCTCTAAAAGCATATTTCCACTAATGCCATATATGGAAAAATCATGCACATGATGCATATATAATGCTGCTTCACAGTTTAGACAAAAATGGTTAGCTCATGCATTTACATTCCTGCATTCATCAACGCAAGCAACACAACATAGAGCTAATTTACACAATATCACCTTGCAAATTCATGCAGGGCTTTGCACAACACACCTGCTGGGTGTGTACACACTACAAAGGTGTTTAGATTCCACCCATAGATCATGCTGGGAGCGAACACACTACAGAGGTGTATACGTGTCCGTGGTGTGTTTATAAGGTTAGTAAATCAACCCCTTTGTATCATTGTTTTATTTATTATCTTTTTTTACTTTGTTTATTGGATTTGGGATATCTAGAGTAAATATATTAACGCAGAGTGATTGTGGATTTTATTAACTCTTTATCAAGCCCCACCAGAATCACTTCCAGTGTAAAGCCGACAATTGGCGTTTCACTCTTAGAGCCAGAAGAAGCTGGGGAAGCAAATCTCTTTGGGGTCCCTAGGAGACATTAGGGGTCTGAAAGACCCCTGATGTCTCTATAAAGAGGACCTGTCACACCCTATCTGCCATTACATAGGGGGCTTGTTAGCTCCCAATGAACCCCACCCCTTTGTTTAAGGATGGGAGATGCCTCAGCCCCCAGCTAATAGAGTAGGTGGCCCCATGTTACTTTTGGATGCAGAGGAGCTCATGTTTTGCTTTTCTAATGGTACTGAACTGTTGGATAGATTTTATTACTACCCTGGAGTTCAGATTTAAGTATTTGCAGCCTTCTTTTACAGGTATGTCCTTTTAGTGGTTTTTGTTTCTAATGACAGGGTCACTTTAATTATGGGATAGACAAATAATCAAAATGGCAATTTGTTTAGTTTATAATTAGCAGATATTGGGTATACATGTATTCTTAGATAAAGGTTTGATTTTCTGGTAGTCATCCTTTAATGCTCAGGAGGTATATAGAGACTTTGTGTTGCTTTACAACAATTACAGACAAATGTGGTATTCCCTATGAACTGGAAACCCTCCTGAAATATTTCAGAGTTTCTTTTCTCTAAACGCCATAATGTTCAGAATGATAATCAGTTATTTATCTTACTCATTTTCACTGGAGCTCGTCTCGCCCTTTACAATCACACTCCATCCAGGACAGATCCCCTGTGGACACGATGCTTCAAACTATTGTGAGAACAAACAAAATATGATCAGAGATGTCTAAGCCTTGTACAGTTCCGACAGGTGCTTTTTGTCATGCATAAAGTTTCTTATATCTGAACTCCGGCTTTCCTTTCATCTTGCACAGTTGTACCGGCTCCTCTACTGTACTGAAAGTGCTTACTCTGATTTCTCACAATGTGCATTAGCTGCATATAGAGCCCACCTCATTTCCTGGTTTCAGAACTCAAGTATCATATAGCACATTCCTCCCTGGCTTTAATGTCCCTGGCCCGCCGCTTTCAGTCATTGTATTTCAACTCTTTCAATCATGGAGACTCATCAATACATGTGAGTGTAACCTAGGGCAGCCTGCATACAAATACGGCCTGCCTAGAATGCCCTCTTCTCCAGACTGACATCCTCCCATTAAGGTTTTTTGATATTTGCATAACTCCCCCTGCCCCCCCCCCTCCCCCGCTTAC